GGGGACATGCACTGCCGGGCGGCGGCGGCTGCACAGGTGAGTCGGCTCGCGCGCCGTGGATCTGGCGTGCCGAGCGTGCTCTCCCCACAGGTCCGCAGGGGGCCCCTCAGGCCGGAGTGGACACCGCATGGTCGCCTGGAAGAGACAGCTCATCGTCTTCGGGGGCTTCCACGAAAGCACCAGGTAGGCGGCATGGCGGGAGGCGGTGTCCGGAGAGCCCTCGCGCACGGTGGGCGGCCGGCGTGGGCACGGTGGCTTGCGAGCCCCTCTGTCTGAGGGGGACGCCGGAGCGTGGGCTGCGGCAGGGCCCGTGGCCACCTGTGGGGTGCGGGGCGCTGCTGCCGCTGCCCCCGCTGTGACCTAGTAAGCCGGGGTGGAGGCTGGCCAGGACAGCCCCTGCGGCCGGCGGCTGGGCCGCTTGGCTATCACGTCTCGTGTGTGTGGCGAAGTGCCCGCCCAGGGACGCGCACGCGGGTCGCAGGCGACCCGCCCCGGGGAGCGCCGCCCCGCCGGCGCTGCTCTCGTGCTGTTAGTGACGTTTAGGGCGTCTTTGGTTACAATGCTGCAAGACCTGGGGTGCGGCCGGATGCGTGGGGGGTGGGAAAACTCCCCGTAGGCAGTGGGAGCAGCGCAGGGGGGGCCACCGAAGCCCACTGCCGAGGGGTGGCGGAGGGACGGGGGGCTGCTGCCCCTGGGGTCCCTCCCTGGCGCCGTCACACGCGGGCCACAGCGGCTGTGGACAGCTGATCGCGCCGGGACTTACGCCCCAGGGAGGCTGCCCCCTGCCTTGGCGCGGGCACCGTCACCCCGAGCTGGTGCCGGTGCCGCTGAGACTCGCCGTCTCGGCACGGCCACTCGGGCTCCTGCCGGGCTCTCGCTCGGGGAGCCCGTCCTGCCTCGGTGCTGGGCGCATCCCCCCAGCTCAGGCTGAGCCCCCGCCAGAGTGGCAGTCTCCTTCCACAAGGAGAGTGTTCTGGTAGCTGGGAAGCTTTAGCTGGAGGCGGGCGCCGGAGTGGCACCCGATGCCGCCAGGGCTTGCTCTGCCCGCAGCAGCGCACTCTGGCTGCTCCCACGCGCTCGCCTCGTGCCTGCAGTCGCCCCTGCCGTCCACGTGGGTCTTGGCTGCACAGCGGCGCCCGCGGTGGTCTGAGCCTGCGCGTGGCGTGGGGCGCCCCAGGGCCGGTCTCACTTGTTTCTGGGGGGTGTGCGGGCCTCGCGCCCGTCCTCCCGGCACCCCAGCCCGTTGGGGCGGCCGCACAGGCAGAGCCCCGGGGCGACCGGCCCCCGCGCACAGCTGGCTCTGTCGTGGGTCGCGGCGGCCGGGGGGGCCGGGCTTGCAAGGGGAACCACTGCAGTGCCGGTGGCTTCACCCGGCCTTTGCGGGTGTCCACTCTGCGGGGGGGCCGGGCGGGCGTGGGTGACGTCGTGGCGTGGTGAAACTTTGTCCCTGACGTCGGGTCCCCTCCTCGGCGCCACTGACTGATTTGTTCGTGCCGCCTCCCCAGGGATTACATCTACTACAACGACGTCTACACCTTCAGCCTGGACACGCTCCGGTGGAGCAAGCTGGCCCCCGTGGGGACCGGGCCCTCGCCCCGATCCGGCAGCCAGATGTCCGTCACGCCGCAGGGCGGCATCCTCGTCTACGGGGGCTACTCGAAGCAGGTGAGGCCGCGCGCGCCTTGTGTCCTCACTGACCGGGTGGCCTCGGAGACCACTGTTTGTGCTGACCGCGGGTGCTGCACCCTAGGGGGCGTGGGGGCGGGACCCTGGGGCTGTGCGGCCTGCTCGCCTAGCCTGGGCACGGCGTGCGTACTGGCTGCTGAAGGCTCGTCCCGGCGGACAGCCGGACCCTCCCCGAGCTCCCGGCCCTCGCACGCGCTTGGCGTCTCAGGAAGTCACGCGGTCCCGTCCCCGCCCTCCGCGCAGCTGACCCAGGGGCAGAGCAGCGTGGAGTGACGGAGATGCCTGAGTGGGCAGGCGCGTGGCCCAGGGCCTTCAGAAACTAGCCCGGTCAGCCTCCCGTGGGGGCCGCGCCCCAGGAGGAGGACGCTGGGTGAGGAGAGCGGACCCCGGCCTCCTGCCAGCCCCGGGTCTCGCCCTGCGCTGGGGGGTCTGCCGGCGGGCCTCGCGCCAGGCTGCTGCTGCTCTTGGGGTGCTGGGCCCGACCTCGGGGGATGGCCGTCGCCGCGGCCTCCAGTGACCACACGTGCAGGTGCCACGGGGAGCCGACCTCAGGGC